TATATCCACAGTAAAACGAGTCCTATATCGACATAACCTGAAAGGACACTCAGCAAGGAAGAAGCCACTGCTCCAAAACCGCCATAAAAAAGCCAGACTACGGTTTGCAACTGCACATGGGGACAAAGATCGTACTTTTTGGAGAAATGTCCTCTGGTCTGATGAAACAAAAATAGAACTGTTTGGCCATAATGACCATCATTATGTTTGGAGGAAAAAGGGAAGGCTTGCAAGCAGAAGAACACCATCCCAACCGTGAAGCACGGGGGTGGCAGCATCATGCTTTGGGGGTACTTTGCTGCAGGAGGGTCTGTTGCACTTCACAAAATAGATGGCATCATGAGGAAGGAAAATCATGTGGATATATTGAAGCAACATCTCAAGGCATCAGTCAGGAAGTTAAAGCTTGGTCGCAAATGGGTCTTCCAAATGGACAATGACCCCAAGCATACTTCCAAAGTTGTGGCAAAATGGCTTAAGTACAACAAAGTCAAGGTATTGGAGTGGCCATCACAAAGCCCTGACCTCAATCCTATAGAACATTTGTGGGCAGAACTGAAAAAGCGTGTGCGAGCAAGGAGGCCTACAAACCTGATTCAGTTACACCAGCTCTGTCAGGAGGAATGGGCCAAAATTCACCCAACTTATTGTGGGAAGCTTGTGGAAGGCTACCTGAAACGTTTGACCCAAGTTAAACAATTTAAAGGCAATGCTACCAAATACTAATTGAGTGTATGTAAACTTCTGACCCACTGGGAATGTGATGAAAGAAATAAAAGCTGAAATAAATCATTCTCTCTACTATTATTCTGACATTTCACATTCTTAAAATATAGTGGTGATCCTAACTGACTTAAGACAGGGAATTTTAACTAGGATTAAATGTCAGGAATTGTGAAAAACTGAGTTTAAATGTATTTGGCTAAGGTGTATGTAAACTTCCGACTTCAACTGTAGCTGCTGAGACAAAGTGTGCCCTCATCATTAGTGAGATTTCTCTAACTGGCGGAGCTGTTCTTCAGCACCACCAAGTTCACCCTGACCATCGCTATCTCTATCCTGCTACCTGACCGATTAGCGGAGCTGTTCTTCAGCACCACCATGTTTACCCTGACCATCGCTATCTCTATCCTGCTACCTGACCGATTAGTGGAGCTGTCCTTTCAGCACCACATATTCACAGTCTAAAGAGAATCCTCGTGTTGTCGTGGTATGGCAAAATGTTGACAAAGTATAAGCTTAAATTGTGACACAGGCTTTGACCTGACTGACTATGCGTCCAACTCTAAATTAATTGGAGCAGGAATTTTATGGACTGCTGCTTTCATTCTGTTGAGAATGTGAGTTCACCCATTTTCATTGAATATCCATATCTCCATATGCCAGGGGTCTTCAACCTTTTCTTGCCCAGGGACCCCCTCCCAGGCAAACCGGTGGCCCAAGGACCCCCATAGTAAGTTAGCCCCCCAAAAATATCCACTTGTCTTTTTTTATGATCAGGCGAATGATACTCTATACATACAACAGTACACTACATGGCCAAAAGTATGTGGACACCCATTCAAATTAGTGGATTCGGCTATTTCAGCCACACACGTTGCTGACAGGTGTATAAAATCAAGCACACAGCCATGCAATCTCCATAGACAAACATTGGCAGTAGAATGGCCTTACTGAAGAGCTCAGTGACCTTCAACGTGGCACCGTCATAGGATGCCACCATTCCAACAAGTCAGTTCGTCAAATTTCTGCTCTGCTAGAGCTGCCCCGGTCAACTGTAAGTGCTGTTAATGTGAAGTGGAAATATCTAGCAGCAACAATGGCTCAGCCGCGAAGTGGTAGGCCACACAAGCTCACAGAACGAGACCGCCGAATGCTGAAGCGCGTAACGCGTAAAAATAGTTTGTCCTCGGTTGCAACACTCACTACTGAGTTCCAAACTGACTGTGGAAGCAACTTCAGCACAATAACTATTCATTGGGAGCTTAATGAAATGGGTTTCCATGGCCGAGCAGCTGCACACAAGCCTAAGATCACCATGCGCAATGGCAAGCGTCGGCTGGAGTGGTGTAAAGCTCGCCGACTCTGGAACAGTGGAAACGCATTTTCTGGAGTGATGAATCACGCTTCACCGTCTGGCAGTCTGTCATACGAATTTGAGTTTGGCAGATGCCAGGAGAACACTACCTGCCTGAATGCATAGTGCCAACTGTAATGTTTGGTGGAGGAGGAATAATGGTCTGGGGCTGTTTTTCATGGTTTGGGCTAGGCCCCTTAGTTCCGGTGAAGGGAAATCTTAACGCTACAGCATACAGTGACCTTCTAGACAATTATGTGCTTCCAACTTTGTGGCAACAGTTTGGGGAAAACCCTTTAATGTTTCAGCATGACAATGCCCCCGTGCACAAAGCGAGGTCCATACAGAAATGGTTTGTCGAGATTGGTGTGGAAGAACTTCACTGGCCTGTACAGAGCCCTGATCTCAACCACATCGAACAGCTTTGGGATGAATTGGAATGCAGACTTATCGCCCAACATCAATGCCCGACCTCACTAATGTTCTTGTGGCTGAATGGAAGCAAGTCCCCGCAGCAATGTTCCAACGTCTAGTGGAAAGCCTTGCCAGAAGAGTGGAGGCTGTTACAGCAGAAAAAGGGGGACCAACTCCATATTAATGCCTATGATTTGGGAATGAGATGTTCGACGAGCAGGTGGCCACATACTTTTGGTCATGTAGTGTAAATGGCAAGGAGAAGTAATCCACATTTTTAAATGAATACAGTGAGGGAAAAAAGTATTTGATCCCCTGCTGATTTTGTATGTTTGCCCACTGACAAAGACATGATCAGCCTATAATATTAATGGTAGGTTTAATTTGAACAGTGAGAGACAGAATAACAACAACAAAATCCAGAAAAACACATGTCAAAAATGTTATAAATTGATTTGCATTTTAATGAGGGAAATAAGTATTTGACCCCTCTGCAAAACATGACTTAGTACTTGGCGGCAAAACCCTTGTTGGCAATCACAGAGGTCAGACGTTTCCTGTAGTTGGCCACCAGGTTTGCACACATCTCAGGAGGGATTTTGTTCCCACTCCTTTTGCAGATCTTCTCCAAGTCATTAAGGTTTCGAGGCTGACGTTTGGCAACTCGAAACTTCAGCTCCCTCCACAGATTTTCTATGAGATTACGGTCTGGAGACTGGCTGGGCCCCTCCAGGACCTTAATGTGCTTCTTCTTGAGCCACTCCTTTGTTGCCTTGGCCGTGTGTTTTGGGTCATTGTCATGCTGGAATACCCATCCACGACCCATTTTCAATGCCCTGGCTGAGGGAAGGAGGTTCTCACCCAAGATTTGATGGTACATGGCCCCGTCCATCGTCCCTTTGATGCGGTGAAGTTGTCCTGTCCCCTTAGCAGAAAAACACCCCCGAAAGCATAATGTTTCCACCTCCATGTTTGACGGTGGGGATGGTGTTCTTGGGGTCATAGGCAGCATTCCTCCTCCTCCAAACATGGCGAGTTGAGTTGATGGCAAAGAGCTCCATTTTTGTCTCATCTGACCACAACACTTTCACCCAGTTCTCCTCTGAATCATTCAGATGTTCATTGGCAAACTTCAGACGGCCCTGTATATGTGCTTTCTTGAGCAGGGGGACCTTGCGGGTGCTGCAGGATTTTAGTCCTTCACGGCGTAGTGTGTTACCAATTGTTTTCTTGGTGACTATGGTCCCAGCTGCCTTGAGATCATTGACAATATCCTCCCGTGTAGTTCTGGGCTGATTCCTCACCGTTCTCATGATCATTGCAACTCCACGAGGTGAGATCTTGCATGGAGCCCCAGGCCGAGGGAGATTGACAGTTATTTTGTGTTTCTTCCATTTGCGAATAATCGCTCCAACTGTTGTCACCTTCTCACCAAGCTGCTTGGCGATGGTCTTGTAGCCCATTCCAGCCTTGTGTAGGTCTACAATCTTGTCCCTGACATCCTTGGAGAGCTCTTTGGTCTTGGCCATGGTGGAGAGTTTGGAATCTGATTGATTGATTGATTGCTTCTGTGGACAGGTGTCTTTTATACAGGTAACAAACTGAGATTAGGAGCACTCCCTTTAAGAGTGTGCTCCTAATCTCAGCTCGTTACCTGTATAAAAGACACCTGGGAGCCAGAAATCTTTCTGATTGAGAGGGGGTCAAATACTTATTTGTTGTTGTTATTCTGTCTCTCACTGTTCAAATAAACCTACCATTAAAATGATAGACTGATCATTTCTTTGTCAGTGGGCAAACGTACAAAATCAGCAGGGGATCAAATACTTTTTTCCTTCACTGTATATATAATTTGGTAGATCGTTTTCCTTATTTTAACCTCCCTCGTTATAGTTGGAAGAGGAAGTGTAAACTCCAAACACATGAGTAACTCCAAACACATTTTCGCTAAAAGCAGCTGTTTAGCTGGTTAAACAAAGGTTGGCTAAATGAATGTCGAAGTCAAGAAAGCTTAACAGCAGCCAGCAGCACTTGCGGCACTAGCCTATTAGCAGGTGCTTTTTCAAAGCGTAGGTCAGATACTCCAGTGAGTGTAATTGGCTCGATATTTGGAGTTGAGAAATATAGTTGACATCATTAAAAATAAGATATACTCCTCTTTTCTACTGTCGGTATGTCATTCAAAATTCGTTTATTTTGTTGTTGCTAGCGATATTCATAACATTCAAATCCAAAGAATAATAACAAATCCACTAAAAGAAAGAAGAAAATAACGTTTGAATAACCCTGCCATACGCCCATAACTTATTTTATCTATACTTGGCTGTGTGCTATGAGTTGTAAACAACTAAGATTACCCGCTATGATAAGAGACAACCAATGGGTCTGTTTTGGAGGTGGTTTCTGGGCAGCAGCATTGTGCTTGGGCAGATCAGACAATACATAAAAAGGGCCCCGAATGTGAGCTCTATTGAGTTGGTTGGCAGCAAGTCAAGAAGTTGAAGCAACAATGAGTCTCTCCACTAAGGACAAGGCAATTGTCAAGGCCTTTTTTGGCAAGGTTGCCGGCAGGGCCGAGGATGTTGGCAACGAGGCACTTTCCAGGTAATTACAATTATTGAATTATTAATACAAGTAATTGATCAATACAATTATTTAAGACCTTTGAATTACTTATGACTGGTTGACAATTCCTTAACATACAAGTGCGTAAAAATGGAACTCACGCGTAAATGGAACTCCCTTTTTCCAATGCACATCAAGTAAAAAGAGTGGGGTCATATAGTACAACGATAAACATGCCACGCTTAACCGACGTATTTTTTCACCCTCCCAGGACGCTGGTGGTGTACCCCCAGACCAAGACCTATTTCTCCCACTGGAAGGACCTGAGCCTCGGCTCTGGCCCCGGTCAGGAAGCACGGTGGGACCGTCATGGGAGGCGTCCTGGATGCCATTGAGAAAATTGACGACCTTAGTGCTGGTCTTCTCACCCTCAGCGAGCTGCACGCCTTCTTGTTGAGAGTGGATCCTGCCAACTTCAAGGTGAGTAAATAGTTAAAAATGCACTTGTTTTCTTTCTCACTAGTAGCTTTTTTCCATTAGCAAACGTCCAAGCTTGAATACTGTAATAGCTTAATGTATGCAGCTTAAAAACCCAATGGATTTCAATCTTTAGAAACATACTCATGAAATATGCTTCTAATAATGTTTCTGCTCTCTCTTCACATCCCAAGATCTTCAACCACAACATGCTGGTGACCCTGGCCATGATGTTCCCTGATGACTTCACCCCTGAGGTGCACGTGGCTACGGACAAGTTTCTGGCCCAGCTGGCCCTGGCTCTGTCTGAGAAGTACCGTTAAGCAAGGAGCTAGATTTCCACTTGACAATCTTTGTAGGGTGCCAATTGAAATTAAAAGATGCAATAAATAAATCCTACCGATCGAATCTGAAACGTTGTTGTCCTTGGTGATTAATTGTAGGCTATATGTGTTTTAATGTTTAGTTACTTATTTATTTCATTGATACACCTATATTATTGATAGTAAAATTATTCCACAAATATATCCACTATCCACAAAGTTGAAAACGTCCACTACTCCACTGTGGGTCCACATTGCCATCAATAGTAATATACATTATTATAGTAATAGGTAACCACCACCACCTTCATCATCATCATCATTATTAGGCTACCATTATTATATCACCATCATTATATGACCTTACATCCTTATATGATAAGTCATTACTGTTTGTCTTCTGGAGGCCTACATTACCAGTATTTAGACCAGATTATTGTTTCATGAAATAATCAATAAGCCAGAAACACTGGTCTTGGATCAGATTTTCTACCCAACCTTTACATGAGAATGTTAGGTGTTGCTACACATGACAATGGCCCAGCTCTTACAGTGAGAGAAACAAGTATTTGATCCCCTGCTGATTTTGTATGTTTGCCCACTGACAAAGACATGATCAGTCTATAATTTTAATGGTAGGTTTATTTGAACAGTGAGAGACAGAATAACAACAACAAAATCCAGAAAAACACATGTCAAAAATGTTATAAATTGATTTGCATTTTACTGAGGGAAATAAGTATTTGACCCCTCATTCCTCCTCCTCCAAACACGGTGAGTTGAGTTGATGCCAAAGAGCTCCATTTTGGTCTCATCTGACCACAACACTTTCACCCAGTTCTCCTCTGAATCATTCAGATGTTCATTGGCAAACTTCAGACGGGCTTGTATATGTGCTTTCTTGAGCAGGGGGACCTTGCGGGCGCTGCAGGATTTCAGTCCTTCACTGCGTAGTGTGTTACCAATTGTTTTCTTGGTGACTATGGTCCCAGCTGCATTGAGATCATTGACAAGATCCTCCCGTGTAGTTCTGGGCTGATTCCTCACCGTTCTCATTATCATTGCAACTCCACGAGGTGAGATCTTGCATGAAGCACCAGGCCGAGGGAGATTGACAGTTATTTTGTGTTTCTTCCATTTGCGAATAATCGCACAAACTGTTGTCACCTTCTTACCAAGCTGCTTGGCAATGGTCTTGTAGCCCATTCCAGCCTTGTGTAGGTCTACAATCTTGTCCCTGACATCCTTGGAGAGCTCTTTGGTCTTGGCCATGGTGGAAAGTTTGGAATCTGATTGATTGATTGCTTAAATAAAATAATTCTGTGGACAGGTGTCTTTTATACAGGTAACAAAATGAGATTAGGAGCACTCCCTTTAAGAGTGTGCTCCTAATCTCAGCTGTTACCTGTATAAAAGACACCTGGGAGCCAGAAATCTTTCTGATTGAGAGGGGGTCAAATACTTATTTCCCTCATTAAAATGCAAATCAATTTATAACATTTTTGACATGCGTTTTTCTGGATTTTGTTGTTGTTATTCTGTCTCTCACTGTTCAAATAAACCTACCATTAAAATTATAGACTGATCATTTCTTTGTCAGTGGGCAAACGTACAAAATCAGCAGGGGATCAAGTACTTTTTTCCGTCACTGTATAGAGGTAACTACAGGAGGTAATTTATAGATATAGGTTAGTTTGCACCATTTAATATTATACAACTTCATACACCAATCATTAAATAATTGCTCAAACTTGCACTTGCTTGAAAAAACATAGGCACACACATCTTGATATCGTATCATGATTCAATAAAAGAGTGTAATAAAAAAAGGTATTGTGAATTAAAACAAGCTTTATCATCATAACATGTAGATTAACAAAAGGAAAATAAATTATTGCAAAAAAATAAATAGTGATTAAAAAATATATATACATAAAATGCATGTTCTATTAGGCCTATATAAAATAAAATAAAGGGCTGGCTTTTGACTTTCTGAAAACAAAAGTATGAATTATTTGGCTATACATCGGCAGTCACAGGGACATTAAACTGTCCACATTTCCCCCAACACCACTGAAATAATTTCAAATATGAATTGGTGATAAATAATGATGATCATTATTGAATGAGCGTAAAGGGCACATGAGAACTATCATCACTGTCTTGGTGATTTGTACCTTTTGGTCGTTGTAATTTACAGTAGGCTATAAATGTTAACCATTGTTAACCCAGCCCACTCAAAACAGCTAAACCAATAGTTGGCTTTCGGTGTGGAGACAAAACGCGTATATAAGCTGTCCCGTCAGTAGCATGAACAGTACATATCATCTTGAGTGATACCTCACAAACGTCAATATGGTTGAGTGGACAGACTTCGAGCGCGAAACAATCCAGAGGATCTTTGGGAAGATGGACTACGATGACGTGGGCCCCGCGGCTCTTTCCAGGTCTTTGCTCTTTGTCATACCTCCTTAAAAATAGGCCTACAGTTACATAGAACACCGTGCATATTATATGATTAATGCAGTCACTCATAATACAATTATTCACTTACAGGTGTCTGGTCGTGTACCCCTGGACCCAGAGGTATTTTGGTAACTTCGGAAACCTGTACAATGCCGCTGCCATCCAGGGAAACCCAATGGTCGCCGCTCACGGAAAGACCGTCCTGCACGGACTGGACCGGGCTGTCAGACATGGATAACATCAAGGCCACCTACGCAGACTGAGCGTATGCACTCCGAGAAACTGCACGTGGATCCCGACAATTTCAGGGTAAATTAGTTCTCCTTTTCTACTTCACAAGGTCACATTCTACTTGCCTATCTATTACAATAGTGTGGCAGAATGCGTTTCTTACATGTCCATTTTCTCCTTTCTTTTGCAGCTGCTGGCTGACTGCCTGACTATTGTCGTTGCTGCGAGAATGGTGGCTGACTCACCGCTGATGTCCAGGGCGCTTTCCAGAAGTTCCATGGCGGTCGTGTTGAGCTCCCTGGCAGACAGTACCACTAGCGCGTGCTTGCTTTGCGTCAACAGAAACAGAGCAACTTCCGGCGCCCTCATGAATGTATCAAACAGCTGTATCGGTTCTGAAGGACAAATAAAGTGCTAAATCCAAAATGTATTTTTAATCGCTTACTTTATGTGTTCGTTTGTCAACATGTGTAGCCTAGATTAACATCTATTTTAAACAAATGAAAGGTCCACGTCAATAGGCCTACATATTTTTTTGTGGTTTATATAAGCCTAAAAGTTGTGCAACTTATTTCTACTAGTACGCCTCCAAAGCACCCAATTCTCTGTCCAACCAAAAGCACAAATATTGTCCTAAAATAAATTTCACACAGATGTGAAAACAGACATGAGGGGGGCCGAATGGGGTCAACTTATCATCTCCCTTTGGGGAAGAGGCTACCGCTAATGCACTACAGTGCACTACTTCTTTAAAGGAAAAAAATATTTTGGCCCCTCAAAAAAGTTAACAAATGTATTGATGAAATAGTGCTGTGCAGCTGCCTTGGCTTCACAAGTAAGCAGATGTGTAGTGCTGGGGGAGCGCGAGGGAGCGGCACTCCCTCACTTTTTTCAATTTGAGAATACATGGAAAATGTATTCTGATCAATTCTAAATAAATTTGCCTATATTTAACTACCACAGAAATTCCATAAATAACGATAGAATGACAAACCAAATAAATATGTAGGCTACAGCAGCCTAGAGGTATGGCGATTACTTCCCTGTGTGCACTGCGGAGGCCCGTTGGAGGCTTGACAAGTTAAGAACATCAGAACGTTGAAATCTAAATTAACAGTGTCTGCATGATGTTTATAAAACTCCACCAACCTTTTTCCACATTTTGTTACATTACAGCCTCATTCTAAAATTGATTTAAAAAATGTTTTTCCCTCAATCTACACACAATACCCCATAATGACAAAGCAAAAACTGGTTTTTCGAATTTTTTTGCAAATCTATTAAAAATAAAAAACTGAAATATAACATTTACATAAGTATTCAGACCCTTTACTCAGTACTTTGTTGAAGCACCTTTGGCAGCGATTACAGCTTCAAGTCTTCTTGGGTATGATGCTACAAGCTTGGCACACCTGTATTTGGGGACTTTCTCCCATTCTTCTCTGCAGATCCTCATAAACTCTGTCAGGTTGGATGGGGAACGTTGCTGCACAGCTATTTTCAGGTCTCTCCAGAGATGTTTGATCGGGTTCAAGTCCGGGATCTGGCTGGGCCACTCAAGGACATTCAGAGACTTGTCTCAAAGCCACTCCTGCGTTGTCTTGGCTGTGTAATTAGGGTCCTTGTCTTGTTAGAAGGTGAAACTTCGCCCAAGTCTGAGGTCCTGAGCACTCGGGAGCAGGATTTCATCAAGGATCTCTCTGTACTTTGCTCCATTCATCTTTCCCTCGATCCTGACTAGTCTCCCTGACGCTGAATAACATCCCCACAGCATGATGCTGCAACCACCATGCTTCACCGTAGGGATGGTGCCAGGTTTCCTCCAGAGGTGACACTTGGCATTCAGGCCAAAGAGTTCAGTCTTGGTTTCATCAGACCAGAGAATCTTGTTTCTCATGGTCTGAGAGTCTTTAGGTGCCTTTTGGCAAACTCCAAGCGGGCTGTCATGGCTTTTACTGAGGAGTGGCTTCCATCTGGCCACTCTACCATAACTGCCTGATTGGTGGAGTGCTGCAGAGATGGTTGTCCTTCTGGAAGGTTCTCCCATCTGCACAGAGGAACTCTAGAGCTCTGTCAGAGTGACCATCGGGTTCTTGGTCACCTCCCTGACCAAGGCCCTTCTCCCCCGATTGCTCTGTTTGGCCGGGCAGCCAGCTCTAGGAAGAGTCTTGGTGGTTCCAAACTTCTTCCATTTAAGAATGATGGAGGCCACTGTGTTCTTGGGGACCTTCAATGCTGCAGACATTTTTTGGTACATTTCCCCAGATCTGTGCCTCGACACAATCCTGTCTCGGAGCTCTACGGACAATTCCTTCGACCTCATGGCTTGGTTTTTGCTCTGACATGCACTGTCAACAGTGGGACCTTATATAGACAGGGGTGTGCCTTTCCAAATCATGTCCAATAAATTGAATTTACCACAGGCGGACTCCAATCAAGTTGTAGAAACATCTCAAGGATGATCAATGGAAACAGGATGCACCTGAGCTCAATTTCGAGTCTCATAGCAAAGGGTCTGAATACTTATGTAAATAAGGTATTTCTGTTTTTTTATTTTTAATAAATTTGCTAAAAATTCTAAAAACCTGTTTTCGCTTTGTCATTATTGGGTATTGTGTGTAGATTGCTGAGGATTTTTATTTATTTCATCCAGTTTAGAATAAGGCTGTAACATAACAAAATGTGGAAAAAGTAAACGGGTCTGAATACTTTCCGAAGGCACTGTATAGCGTTTGGGATACAGATTGTATTGATGCGTAATGCATGTTTAATTGATGCGTAATGCTAAACCTGGCTTATCTCGCCACACAAATCCGCTTTCCATTTAAATAAAAAACTATCAAGATAAACAGTTTTTGATGGCGGTCTTTTTATTCCATGATTCATATCATACAACATGTGCAAATTTATGATCAACACAGAAAACCGAGAGATGTTCTTCTTGCC